CTCACTATGTGCAATTTAAGAAATATTAATAGCCTGGCTTGCATACCAGCTAACCTCAATTTGACATCACAAACCTGGATGCACTAAATTAAGAGCTAAGGAAGGAAGCAACCCTTGAAAATGTGCAGACTTTAATTATTTACTAAGACAAAACCATGGCTGTGAAGAATTTTGGAGGCATGTGCTTCAAAAACCTGACTAGAAGCTCACAGTAAATGACATCAAACATCTAAAAATAACCAGCACAGAATATTGGACACTATAAATTTCTTTTTCACTTAACAGAACTTTTGCCCTGACTTTTAGACCTTTATGGGTTGGAAACTCCCTTTTTTGGGAGCCACTGCAGGGATCCTTTTCTGTTGCCTCTATACTGAGGCCTTCTCCTTTACATTAAAAGTTAAAAAGCTTTTCCCCATATCCTGGAACCCCCCATAGAATCACCCACGAAGACTCCCTGACCAGATCAATTCTTAATCTTGTGCTACTAAAAGTGTGTCACTCACATTTATATGGCACAAAGGGGGGATTGTAGGAAGTCAATACCCCCCCTCCCTACAGAGAAGGAAATGTTTTGGGAGATATTAAAAGACATAATATTATATTTCCCCAAAGGAATAATAAAAAAATCTTAGGCAGAAACCATCCCCTTCTCCCCCCCCCCCTAATCTTTCTGCCCCAAGCAGAAACCAGCTTTTAAAAATGCAGATTTGGTGATTCATTTAGGAAAACTAGGGCCAGGAAGCTTGGAGGTGATGCGGTTAGAAAGACAAAGACCCCCTAAAATCTACATCCCCACCCAAAATCTAAAGACATGATCTTTAGGACACAATAGGATTAATCCACCACCATTAGAATAGTAAAAGGGCACACTCAAGCTCAGGTCAAAGTACATGCTACAGGAACAGGAAGAACCTCAAATACAAAGTTGAAAGAAGGTATAAACACCCACCACTCCGAGCTCCATTTTGTTAGCTTTCCCAGAACCACATGCTGTTGGTTCTGTTCTTCAATAAACAGAACCTTCTTTCCTAAGCACTCTCCATTTTGTTTATTCCTGTCTTGGACTGCACCTGATGATTTTTCTTTCAACGAAACCAATAAAATAGAGCATATATCTGCACCAAAAACTTTGTTGTTGTTAGTTGCGAAGTTATGTCCGATCCATCGCCACCCCATGGACAACGTTCCTCCAGGCCTTCCTGTCCTCTACCATCTTCTGGAGTCCATTTAAGCTCATGCCTACTGCTTCAGTGACTCCATCCAGCCACCCCATTCTCTGTCATCCCCTTCTTCTATTGCCCTCAATCTTTCCCAGCATTAGGCTCTTCTCCAGTGAGTCCTTTCTTCTCATTAGATGGCCAAATTATTTGAGTTTCAACTTCAGGATCTGGCCTTCTAAAGAGCAGTCAGGGTTGATTTTCTCTAGGACTGATCAGTTTGAATGCCTTGCAGTCCAAGGGACTCACAGGAGTCTTCTTCAGCACCATAGTTCAAAGGCCTCAATTCTTTGGCGCTCAGGCTTTCAAAAAAAAAAAAAAAAAAGGCTAGTTAAGTGCTAATAGAGTTCTTAGATATGTATTAGTCTGTGACCCTAATACAAATTTGATTGAAAGATCTTACATGTATTTGAGAGTTGTTTAGTGGGAAATTGCTAGATTTTTCTTTTTCTTTCAAATCCAGGGAAAGTTTTTTTTTCTCATAGTATCTGCTTCCTTTAATGTTGTGATCTTATTTCAGGGATTCCTGTTCAAAACCATTTTCTGCTAGAGAAGGCAAATGTGTTTGAGCTGTGATTGAATTAAAAACAAAAATTGAAGCAAAAACCGCAAACCTTCTGAATTTCCAAAAAGAAAAGCAAAACGTATCAGATAAGACCTTCTTATCTGCCAGACAACAGACACTTCAGAGGAGAATAGCTCATAATGAAAAATCTAATGAAGAAAAGTAGACCAGACAGTCAGAACATGGTTAGAAAAGTGAGAAGGCTAGTCTCAGAGATACTATCATTGTGTTTGCATACAGTGGAAAGAGGGAACAAAGGAGGGAACAACTGTAAGACATTATGGTTAAGATTTAAAACTAAATCTAATTTGCTTTACTGAACAATTACAATAAAAATGAATTAGCCAGTTTCCAAGGAAGAATACTACTGGTATAGGCATGGGCGGTGGCGGGGGAGGGGGGAGGCTTAAATGGTTTTGTTAGTTCAAGGATGGAAAATATATTGCTCACCATCTTTTATTTTGTAGCCACCATATTTATACCCTATCTGGATGAGAGATTGTTTAGGACAGCTGACTCAGGAATTGCCCACCTCTGGTTTAGGAGAATGGAAGTAGTCTAGGCACTGTAGATTCTTTGGCATGCGATTCAAAGCCATGTATTGTTCTTAAGCTGATAGAAGTTGTGCACTGGCTTAATTTAGCTTAATTGGATGTATATTATTTTAGATAAAAAATATAAAAGAAGAGAGATTATAATAATACAGATGATAGAATTCAACAACATCAAGTACACTTCTCAAAATGTGTTGTCTCCTTCTTCCATTTCTTGTAATGCACTGGGATACTTTTACAGAAACCATTTCTCATTTGTAGTGGTTTTTGAAATGTGCATTTATATTATTTCATTACTAAACTATTCGCTGTAATTTAACACAAGACTTAAGTATATTTACACCCCAAAAAATTTGCCTAACAAATCTTAAATTTATATTGGATCTTAAAATGTTAACTCTACGTTGCATTATATTCATAGCAAACATTACAGATTCTATGAAAAACTTTAACCTGATGCATAAAAACCTAACATGCACAGTCTCCCATGTACAGCATTTCCACCCTGTTAAAAATTAAACTCCACTTTTCTAATTTAAATACTTGAATACATAAAAATGTTTTGGATTGTTAGATTCTTTTATATTTGAAACAAAGGAAATCTTCCATGAAAGGAAGTACTTCAATTAAATTGAAAGATACTGTGCCAGTTCAGTGTCTCCTCTTGTACTTTGTCTGAGCATTCTGTAAACAGCAACAAAAACCCAAGCAGATTTTCAGAAAGAAAAGGTTCGTTGTTTTTTTTAATGGAAGGAATTTATAACAATCCCTCCATTCTTAATGGGCATTACAAAACCTTTGCCATAGGTGAAACACCATAATATAAACTTACAGATTTTACAATTTCAAACTGCAGAACCAAATATTCTTACATTTCATTGTTTTTGGTGCTTACTATGACATATTTTTTTCTCTGAACAAGAGAAAAAAAGACTGAAATATGCATTGTAATTATATTATCACTCTCTCTTTCTCTCTCTGTTTTTGTATACATTAAAGAGGTTTTTACTTTATTCTCAGAAAGGATCCTGTCAAAATTCTTTACTATATCATTTTTCTCAAAGTGGCACAGAGTATCAACTTGCCATTATTCCTGTTACCTAAATAACAGGACTTAATTGAAGTATAGGAATCAAGGGGACTGGGTAGAGGTTTGTGAAATGGAATGTATTATTTGTTGGCCATTTTATAATTAAAAATGAAGATATTTTGATTTTTGAATGATCAGGAGGATGATATAATAGCAATTTCATAGTCTGCCTATGATAATGTCATCAAAATTCTTTTCATGTTTGAAAAAAAGAAAAAAATTGAATGAAAGAATGATAATAAAAAGATGTTTTCTGCCATTAATATAATATAGAATGAAAGAATGTGACTCTTATGTCCTACTTCCAAATGACTCATTTCATTTATAAAAGATTTGATTTTCACCTTTCCAAAGCTTCCTGAAGAAAGTTGTGCAGTAAATTACAAAAAGCTATTGAACTCAGTTTATATTCCTAAAATAGTATAATCCTTCTGGGATATTATTATCTGGATAGATGCAAATCAGTAGACATGTGTAGTAGAATTCTTATTAAGAAGAACAAATCCAGGATAAAATTATTTCAAATGGTGATACAAGGGACATATTTGATTAAAAATGTATAAAAGTGACTTTAGCTTTCAGATCTGTGATATTTAATTATTCCAGAAATATTTGAATGTGTTAAAAAGACCTTTTAATACTGTGATATTTTAAAAACAAAATATTTACTAATCAACTTCCAAAAGAGAGGAATATAATGAATATGTGTTTTACTCAATATTTCATCAGGAGACCAAAACAAATAAAGAGAAAGAAGCTGAACAAAACAGATCAATATAAAGTTTGGCACAAGATGGTTGAAAAAAATCATTCTGAAGAAGAAAGATATTTACACACACACACACACACACAGAGAGAGAGAGAGAGAGAGAGAGAGAGAGAGAGAGAGAGAGAGAGAGAGAGAGAGAGAGAGAGAGAGAGAAAGAGAGAGAGAGAGAGAGAGAGAGAAAGAGATACACACAATCACTTTCAATAGTTTGCTACAACGCTTTACAGGTAAGCAATATTTCTTATAAGATTTATTTTCTTGGATATGACCCTAACAGTACAATTTTATATGTCCTATTTTATATGTATTTATATGTATATATATGTAGATCTTTGGTTATTCGGGTTTTCTTCTGTGTAAAATTGGAAGTGTCTTGGTGATGTTTCGATGAAGTCACGTTCGTCATCTTCAGGCTGGTGTTTTCTGCTTCGTGCTTCTAGCACGAATAACCAAAGACCTACATACAAACACCCGCGAAAACCTCAGAAAACAAATATGTATGTATGTATGTATATATGTATATAATGCAATATATACTTATTTACTTATTCAAGTATATCTTAGTGCTTAATCACAAAGAAGTTTATATATCAGATAAACTGAAAATTTACAAAAGGTTTATTGCTGATATTTACTTTTTTAAAATGATTGGAATATATTTATTTATTTAAGTGAAATCTCTTTTTTAATGGAATAGCCAGAGTTTTGATGCAAGGGAAAAGTGACTGTTTTGCAAACAGATATCCATCTGCAAAAAGACACAAAAAAGCATCATACTGTACTTGTTTAGAAAGCTTTGGTTATGAGGATCTTGGATTTTACTATATTAATGGCCTGCTTGTGCAGGGACCACACTAATCTTTTCTGTATCATTCCAATTTTAGTATATGTGCTGCCAAAGTGAGCAGCCTGATTTATAATTTATTTCTGATGAGTATGAGTGTGCTTCCCTTGATTTTGATCTCGTCTTTTGAAGCCAAACTGAATTAGTCATCTGATGGTCCTCTTGTAGGCAGATTGAAGACAACTCTATGACAGAGTTTTACGTCTGGCTCCTATTAATCTTTGACCACTTTTGTGAGGTGTCTCTATGCCTTTGTTCTTTTCTTTCACGACAATCAATTTCTACCATTTGTTTTTCTATTAAAAGTTGGGGCATTTAGACTTCCGGTTCCGGATCAATTGGGTCGAAAAGCTGCCTTGGAGGGGCGGCTACCACTGAGGAGGTCCTCATCTCCATGGGAGAGCGGCAGCTTCTTCCACAGCCCGAGATTGCTCCTTTGGGCCGACGGTGGAAAGACTGGCCAGTAAAATGGCCATTCACCTTGCTGCTGTAACCAGAAGTCAGAAGAACATCTAAGCACAGGAGCCACAGTGGCTGAGCCGGGGGAGACTTTTTTCCCCCTCTCTTGGTTCTCCTTTTTCTTTTGTGCCTGTAAAAAGCACTTTTGAAATTATTTCCCGCTCTAAGAAAGCGGCATTTGTGAGTGTGGGAAAAAGAAGCTTGAATGGACTGAATTAATTTAAAGTGATTTTTCTTTGTTTTTATTTTTATTTTTTAATTCACTTTGAAGTCTTGGGAAAAATTTTTAATATTGAATTTACTATTGGATTTGAATTCTCCTTTCTTCTGTCTTTCCTGATCTTGTTTATGAGATTTTTGGTCTCTGGGAGAAGATTTTACATTTTACTGAGGACACCTTGTGGAAAAAGTTAAAATTGCAATTGGCTCTCTTTTCTGATAATAATAATAATAGTAGTAAAGTTGGAAGGGACCTTGGAGGTCATCTAGTCCAACCCCCTGCTCGGGCAGGAAACCCTACACCATTTCGGACAAGTGGCTGTCCTGTCTCTTCTTAAAAACTTCCAGTGTTGGAGCATTTACTGCTTCTGGAGGCAAGCTGTTCCACTGATTAATTGTTCTAACTGTCAGGAAGTTTCTCCTTAGTTCTAGGTTGCTTCTCTCCTTGATTAGTTTCCACCCGTTGCTTCTTGTCCTGCCTTCAGGTGCTTTGGAGAATAGCTTAATTCCCTCTTCTTTATGGCAGCCCCTGAGATATTGGAACACTGCTATCATGTCCCCCCTTGTCCTTCTCTTCGTTAAACTAGACATACCCAATTCTAGCAACCGTTCCTTATATGTTTTAGCCTCCAGTCCCCTAATCATCTTTGTTGCTCTTCTCTGTACTCTTTCTAGAGTCTCAACATCTTTTTTACATCGTGGTGACGATGGTGAGACTGACTTTGACTTTCAGATTATCATGAAAGGAAAATACAAAGAAATTTAACAGCTGTATTGGTGGGGGTGGATACTGATTAAATGTTCCTTGAACACAGCCTCTGCAGACTGTTTCTAATTACTTTTGAAATAGAGCAATCCTATGTTCAACTTGACTATAAGCTCATACTGGAAAAACTTTATGAATCTACTGACAAAATATGTTTGCAAATAAAATAATTTACTATGGAAATAAAAAACAGAAATTCTGCTCTGAATTTACAAACTGACCCCCAGGCTTTAGCTGAGCATTCTATAGACCAAAAAACAACAGAAGCGGGATTAACTAAAGGTAAAGAAGATTCCACTTTACTTTATATGTATGCTGATGAGATCTCCGAGGAACTAAAAAGGACTGTAACTAAACCACTTACAACTCTAATACCAACAGAAATGGACAGACAAGCTCAATGAACTGAGAACTATGGTAGCTTGGATAAGCAACTATTACCTATAAAGTTGGACATAACTGAGCCTGCTATTCATGAGTTTCAAACATGGAGACTTGACTCTTTAAAACAACAAGAGATTATTTATAAAGAAGCTAAGTCTCTAAAACAGAAAAGAGGATGTTTTTATTTGATCCAAAGGATACCACAAGGCATAAAAGGTGATTTGTTCATTGATATAGAGGCGTTGTTATGGAAACCTGTCTGGCATAAAAGGAAAGCTAGAATAAGATTTAAGAGTGTGATTTAAGGCTTTATGTAATGGGTTTAAAGGGCTAATTAGATATGGACTGATTTATGACTTAAGACAGTTAAATAAGATGTTAGATTGAATTAAAATTAATTAAAGGTTTGAATTTAATAATAGGATGTTTGTTTATGTATCAATATGTTTTGGATATAATAATTTGGGGAGGAGGCTAAAGGAATTTGATACAGATATCGAGAGATTGATTGATGGATTATAAAGTATAATAGAAATAGAAAGATATTTTCTTTTTTCTTGGTTTTGTTTTTTGTTCTTTTTTTTCCTTTCTCTTTCTTTTTTGTTTTGAATTAATATTTTTTTTTATCAGGAATGATAGCTATTTTGTAATGGAAGAAGAATAAGATAAAAGAAGAAATGATACTAATAAATGTTTATTGAATATGTTAAGGAAAAAGGCAATGGGGAGACACCTGAAGTGTTAATTATGCATTTAGATTAGAAATATGGAATATAGCAATTGAAATAGTTAAGCTTAACACAGAATTTGGATTTGTGGATCTACTTAGATGAAAGGTTATTGAGGATTGTTATGACTGACTTAGTTCTATTGAAATATATTAATTTGAATATAATATGTTATTAGAGGGAAAAGAGAGGAGGTTTTTAATGATTTTTTAAAAATGATTTAATCTGAATTTTATGAATATGATCTTGTTTGTGGACAATTGATTGCCCTGCCACCATGTTGATTCTTAAGCACCTGTTTGTAAAATGAAAAAAAAAATCAATAAAACTTGTTTAAAAAAAAGTTGGGGCGTTTTGCTTGTCCTTTTATTTTGCTTAGGTCCATTTTTCTGTTCCTCTGGGATGTTTGGATATTGATTCAGGTAATCTTTAAAAGTTTTGTTTCCCTTTTCAACTTGTGGGTTACTGCTGGTTGGATCAATGCCAAACTGGGGTTGAAGAGTCCTATGTTGAGTATATATTGATCGTGCTTGCACAGGGCAATGTGAACATGGGATTCCTTCCAAACCCATTCCAGTCTTTGATGGTTTGTTACATTTGGGCTTTCAGTTCTGCATGAATTGCATAAAATATAAATACTTGGCTATAATTTAACAGTTAAATATAATTTTTAGCCTTTAACCAGTTCAGAATTTTTATTACTTATTAATATTTTCTTACAATGTCCAAGTTCAGAACATATTTATAATTTTTTATTTTCTTCCTCAGGTACAGGAAGTATATATAGTGCAGGTACAGGGGAACATTCTCATACCCTCTTTGATCAACAGGTTTTGTTCTTTTCATCAGAAAGAGGAATAACTTATATTTTATAATGTTCAAGGCTAATGTATTCATTATTTCATTCATTATTTTAAATTAATAACATACATTATCTGAGAGGAGGACTTTCAGTTTATATGGGAGCTTATTAGGACCTATTTTACAGCCATGGATAGTATATAGGAAATGTACTTTGGTTGGGCTGTTATTGTGTATGTTTTTGTGTATTGTGTATGTAAATATTTCTTAGGATTGGTTAAAGTTTGTCTCTACTAGTCCATATGTACATTGTCTATTATTTCTTCTGTCTATGAATATTTGTAAGAAGAAAATGGAAGTATAATTCTGTATAGACCATAAGACTTTAGCATACATTTTGAAAAAAATGTTTGTTTAATTAAACTTGTTGTTTTATTTCCAGTAATATAAATTTGCACTTAATATTGTTTTATGTTAAATCTCTCCCATTACTCTCACTGGAACCAATATATGACAGTTGTGATTGAATAATAATGACTTGTACTTGCCTTGATAATGGCAAATTTATTGTTAAAAAACATATAACAAAAATATAATCAGTTACAGCTTTTCCTTAATCGCTTTACTAACCTTGAGCCTGCTTGTTGTACTATATACTGTGCATGTTGTGGTTTCCTATCCTGTATATGACCCATGAGGACAATGAAAAAAAATAGTTCTGTGATTCCAGTGATTTTTCTAAGCATATTATTGGCAGTGTCTTTTCTCATTAATTCTTAACCTTTTAAAGGTCATTCACAGTTCTTCTGATTCTCTGTCAATGAGGTTCAGGATTTCAAAGCAATTCATGATGTTTTCCTTGAAAATAATGGGTATGTCCTTAACATCATATAATGCAAACTGGTTGACTATCTTCTTCTTTAGCTTAATGTGGCATCTGCATATCAGCAATTTGTGCTCCTTTCAAAGATAGCACTTCACCATGTATTTAATGCTAGAACTGGTATTCCACCTATTTTTTACAATAATATAGTCAACTGAACTTCTATGTCCTCTATCTGGTAATATCCATGCTTAGATATCTCATTTTGGCTGCTTGAAGATGGCATTAGCTATGAAGAAATACTTGGAGTGGCAGAAATTAATTAGTCCTTCTCCTGTTTCATTTTAATTTGCTAAGCCATACAGTGCCATTATATTTTCCTCTTTAATATTTCCAAGATTGGAATTCCAGCCTACAATTCCAAGCAGCCCTTATTGCTTGTATAATCTGTCAATTTCAAGTTAAATTTAATAATAAAACTCATCAACTAATTTTACAGCAGTAGTTGGAACATAAACTTGACTGATTATATTCAATTGTTGTCCACAAAATCAATATTGTTGAGTCCGTCGCGAAATGGTAAGACACGAGAAGCAGTTGTAGTTCTCAGGAAACCTTTATTCTTCAGTTCAGCTTACATTGGAATATGGCGGCAAAAGCCCACAACTCGCAGCCTCCTTTTATGGGACTTTCCCGGGTCAATGTGTTACTTTTCGCGCGCCAGCACTTGTGCATGCGCACCAGCACTGGCGACAGCCTGTCTGGTCCCGGGCAGCTTGCACCTGCCCGGGACTGCCTACAATGCCCCGAGCCCGCTTGCAAGGCTCAGGACATAACACCCCTTTCCCCCGGCTAAAACTACGACCAATGCCAAATAATACACA